TTGGTTTAATGGCTTCACTCGGTCGGCTCGGCTCACCATCGCTAGTTGCACCTGAATACGGTTTGCTAGCTTCACCACCTTCACCGAAATTCGATTCAATGGCAGCACTAGCTTCACCAGTTTCAGTGGAATTCGGTTTATTCATCTCTAATTCACTGGGGGCAGAATCCGGTTTGAAAGCATCAGGTTCGCCCAAATTGCTTTCCTTGTTTTCATTCGTTCCAGCGCTGTTCGCATCTTCGTCGCTTACGATTTCGTTCGATTGTGGTCGGTAGGATGATTGTTGCCTATTGCCAGTTGCAATGGGTTTGGAATTGATATCTGCTACGAATCTCTTTGTATCCACTGGCACCTTATGCTTTTTCGTCTTAAGCTTTTTCGTCTTAAGCTTTTTCGTCTTATGCTTACCCGCGTTAGCTTCATCAATATTATCAATATTACTTTGAATGTGTGATAAGACTATGTGACTAATCACTTTCTTAATTGATAAGTTAGAGTGTTAGTTTCATGCAAAATAAGCAGTGATTCTTTGCTCATTGTTTCAAACGGTTAATGTGATTAAATAAAGTTGGAAAACTTTAAAAAATGTTGAACAATTTGGTTAAAAGAAAATCCAACAATTGGATTTTGGTTGGACAATAAACGTTTCTACTTCAATTGTGAAACATTTAGAAAAAAAATTCGATAAAAAAAAGTTAAATTACACCAACGAACGACAATTCTCGCTTGAAATTCCGAAGAAAAAAAAGCTTTGGAATTGTTAGTTGTGGTAAATTCCGTGCTCGTTTTTTTTTCTTCATCGTTTCGTTTTGGCAACAAAGCAAAATATTTTCCCATGTACCAAAGACAAACGTATGAAAATGCACCCCATAGAATGTTTGCATGAAATTGAATACAAAATGGAGGGATGTGTGTGCATCTGTGCATGTCGAAAATCGGTTTTTCGAGAAAAAAAAATCCAAAAAACGGGTTCTCATTTGAAAATGAAGAAGTGTTAGGCGGATGAAATGAATTTGTGGATGCAATGTTGATGTTGTTGTATTTGTTCATAGAAGAGATGCCAACAGAAAAGTATTTCTACTCACCGACTGGATCATGTTGGATTGGTGCGCCTGGAGCTGGTTGTTTAGCATCTGGTTTTGGTTCGACAGCAATTGATGTGGTGGCAACTGGTGTGGCTTTGCCCAATACATTTTCAACGAATTTCTCGTATTTGTTGCGACGTTCGAAGAGTCGTTTACGAAGGCCGTCGGCTACATCTTTTTGCGACTCCAATGAGATTTTTGGGCGCCAAGTGGCTGCACGGAAACCTTTTACCAAACGAATTGGTCCAACCTTTTTCAAACTACTGAAACTGAACTTCTTCTTTGGTTTGGTTTCGTCAGCTTTGGCGGCATCACTTGTATTTGCTGGGGCTGGTGATGCTGGCGCGGCAGCTGGGACTGCAGTTGGAGCTGGAGCTGGAGCTGGAGCTGGAGCTGGAGATGGAGCTGGAGATGGAGCTGGATCTGTGGCTGCAGCTGGAGCTGGAGCTGGTTCAGCTGATTTTGATTCTTCAGCTGCAACAGCACGGACTGTAATCGAAATGAAAATGATGACGATTGATAAGTTGGTAAATTTTTTTTGGACAAAAATGCATTGTTTGATCAAAGAATTGAAGATGCCATTTCCACGAACACACAGTCTTTCAAAATTTCATTTATGAAAAGTTGCATCTTTTGATTTTGAATTTTTTTCCTTTTTTTCGTTCGATTTTTGTTTTTTGAATTCAATTTTTTTTTTAGTTCTTTTGTGTGGAAATGAATAGTTCACCTTGTTCGGTTGATGAAGTGACAGCATTTTCGGCTGGATCGGCGTCAGCAGGGACGGCAGCTGGCTGATCAACTGGCAACGATTTGGCTGGAGCAGCGACTGCTTCAACAGCAGCAATAACGGCTGGTGCTTCAACCTTGACCGGCTCTTGTACAATCGTCACTTCAACAGGGATCTGTGATGGTTGATCGGCCAGTTGAGCGGTACGGACAACACCGCCACAACCAAATGAACTAGCCTCGTCGCATGATTTTCCCGTGGTACATGGCAAAATGACGCCGTTGATCATGAATTGTGGTTGTTGGCCACTTCGTTCAGTCAACGAGCATGGTTGATAATGTGTTGCGTTTATGCACTTAAATTCTTTTCCATTACAATTTAATGTAGCTTCACTGTTCAATTCGGCTCCTTGAGTCGACTGCTGCAAGAAATTTCAGATTTTTTTTTTCAGAGATTAGAAAAAAATTCACATCAGCCAGGAAAAAAAGGATTGAAAAAAAAAAGATTCACGAATCGACAGACTAAATTTGAATAAAGTTTTCACGGCGCACAAAGTTTTACACTTGAACACTCTGAACCAAATGTTATAAAAATAGCGAAATGTACACAGTTTCGGAAAATAGAAGTTGTTTTTTTCGGAATAAGCTTTTTTTGGAGAGAAAAAAAAAATATTTACCAAAACAAGCAGCAAAATGCTGAAAATACAAACTACTATTGATCTATCCATTTTGGATGATGGAAGCAGACTGAATGATACTGTTGAAAATCGGCTCTTATAGACAAACAAATTTCTAGACTCAACACGAATATTGTTGTTGTCGTTGAGATTTGTGTGCGTTTGAAATACATTTAGAAATTTACATTTCGATCCCTCTTTCTTTTTTTTCTTCTTTCTCTGCTCTCGAACTCAATCAACATATGCACGCGCAGATACAATACACATACACACACGTATGTCATTTCACCGGAGGGAATTAATTGCCAAAAATTGCCAAATACAGATTGTGATCTTGGGTGTCGAATGTGAAGAAACCATCGCAATGGACAGACGGAAGAGAGACAGAGAGAAATGCATAAATCTCTTTCACAAAACCGATTCTAATTCAAGCGAGAGAAAAAAACAACAACATAAGCCATAACCACATAGAAAATGATGAAGATGGTCAAGAAGATGGACAAATTCACAGCGAACCAGTTTTTTTTATCTATTTCTCCATCCGCTCCGGACAAACAATTCTACGAGAAGCGTGCACATTAGACGACGAACGGCCCAGAGAGTCAATTCATTTTGAATTTTTATTTCTCTTCTAATTTGATACGTTAATGATATGCATGTGGTCGAAATAGAAGAAACACATTTCATGTTCATTTGATATGAAACGAGGAAAAAAATCTATACATAATTTATGAATGATGTAGCCGAATTCGGCGGATATTTTGGGTGGAATTTGCATAAACATTTTCAGGTGTTGTGCTTGCAACAACGGGCTAGAAAAACGGTATCGCGCTTCGACGCTTCTTTCTCTCGATTTTATTAATGAAGCCCACATCATGCGACAACATCATATTTCTACTCACTCATGAATAATGCATCAATTCTGATGGGATTCTGGTGAAGTCGCTTCTTAAATTGTTTTTTTTTCTCTATCTGGTCTATCGGATAAGTGAATTCAAGAAGATGTGAAACACCGTTATCGAGCATGGCCGTTTAATTGCTTTCACAATTCGCCATTTGGTCCACATTTTCCGTTATCTCCGCATATCGCATCTCTCTCTCTCTCTCTCTCTCTCTCTCTCTCTCTCTCTATGGCTCAAGCAGGGACAAACGGTCGTTGAAACATTCTTGGAGTTGGAGATAAGCAGCCCGGTTGCTGACGATTACGTAAAAATGAACGCGCACGCGCGCTGCGAGAATCAATCATCGATCACACATCGCACAAGCAAAAAAAACCGTTTTCTTTTACATTTTAATTCCAACATTTTTCAATTAACATAATGTAACGCCACTTTACTGGTCTCCGAATGTCTCTGATTCTTTTTCTTTCGATTCCATTTCGGAATTCCACGCAACCATTTCTGCTAATTTTAAGAGAGCAATAAAATCTATTTTAGACGCATACGATTATGCGTTGGGCACACAAAACAACAAATTACGCCGGTCTTTTCGCCTTCTATTCTCTATTTGTGTGTGTCTGCGCAAGATTTGGATTATTACCGTTGCTTAGGCCGAAATGAAGACCCGATCAAATTAAGATACACTCAAGGAAATATCAAATCAGCATATTGATTGTGTATTTCATATAAAATTGATGTGTCGTATTAAATGAAAATACCGTACATCCTACTAAAAATCAGCTACATTCTGGCGCACAAGCGTACACGTGTCTTTCTTCTGGTTCTCTGTGCATTAAAAACCAATCTTCGGTTTCTGATCTCTGATAAAAAAGAGCTTTAGCTAAAAATTGAGCTCATACAAATTTGAATCCATGAAAATCGTCTTCTCCAGCGCTAATGGGATCGAAAAATTCATCAGGGTTAATTTGAGTTCGATGACTTTTAAATGCAGCACATCACTCTCAGTCATATGAATAATTGCTAAAAGAAATCGCTCAAACGGAATGTTTTTTGCACGGATTTTAAACAGATTGCAATCCAATTATATAGCGGATTATCTGACACATTGACCAATCGTAGTATGTTCATTGACAATTCGCTGTCTCTTTTTTGTTAGCTCCATCGAATCAATCATTGATAAGAATCACGCCAGTTTCATTGATCCACGTTTTTGCTAAATTTATTCCGCCGAATCTGTGACACAATGATCTTTCCAATAAATTTCACATAATCAAGAGAAAAACAATAATGATCTCAGCAGCCAAAAGCCCAAAATTCGCACAATTTTGAATGAAAGTTTTTTTCGCTCCATTGAAACGAGATCAAACGTAGAATTATTTTACACATTGTTCCTTACTTTTTTTGGATCCTATTAATTTGGATACAAAAATTAAAGAGCAAACAAATTTTTCAAGTTCATCTTAGGAAATCGGAACTCGTTTTTATTGTTTGTATTCTTGAAAATTATTTCCTCTTCATTCATTGCCCATTCGATTGGGTTCGCACAAGATAAATCGAACTCAGTAACAAATTCGGAAGGCACGTTTATTGAAGTCACGCCATCCAGCAAGTATGTAATGTTGCAATAAAACCGCCGGATTGGATTGTTTTTTAGGTTTAGTATTTTTAATTTGGAATTCTTTCGAAAAGTGCCGTTTCGAATCAATCTAATTTCATTATCATTTAGATCGAGCACTTCTAAATAGGAAAGCGCACTTAGTAAACGCAAATCTATTTCTTCGATTTGATTATGCGAAATGTTCATGGTAGATAGCTTGGGCACTCTTGAAAATGTCAATTTGTGAAGTTTTTTGATTTGGTTGTGTGAAAAGTCCACTTCGGTCAGTTGTTTTGTGTTTTTAAATAGATACTCGTGCTGTATATGTAAGTAGCTCAATGTCGTATAGTTCGAAAACGAAATGTCCAACGTGCGTACATTTCTATACCCAATAAATGTGAACTCGATCGATTCGGTAGAACAGTTCTGAATTTTTAGCACTTCTACTGTCAAGTGATCACATTCACGATAAGACTCAAGCTGATGAATGCAAACAATGTATCGTGATTCATGATTGTGACTAAATATAACACCAGGAATAACAATACAGGCATGCACTGTTTTGGCCAATATCAAAACCAACAACGTATAGCACTGCACACTTTTTGTTGAAAAATGACGAAAATTGCCGTAGAGAGCGCGCTTTCTTATGGACAATCCGATGGGGAACTATTGGCGCCCTCTTGACGGTTTTTTTGATAACTAGTAGTGTTAAACGCTATTGATCAAAACCAACACGCAAGCTATAACAAATCTCATTTTGTAAAACAGAAGCAGTACACGAAATTCAATTCCCTTTTGAATATTTCAATTTTAATTAGTAAAAAAGGCTTTCGTTTATCAATTCCAAGCGAAGCGGTTGTTTGATAAATTTACAAATGTAACAAGTTGAAAACTCAGTGACTGATTTCTCTTTTCTTTATCTTTTGGCCAAAAGAGTGGCCTTCAGCTAAATGTATTCGTAATGCTCAATTTTATGTTCCAAAAAAGCTGATAAAATTTTATGCTTGCGTTTTTAGAACCTTCGGGATTTCCGTTTGTTTCGTCCATTCAACGGTTCAGTTTTGAACCATATTCCTAGCACTTCCTTTCAGTTCTACAGCATTAAAATAAGAAACGTTTTCGTTACTTTCATCAAAAAATAATTTCATTTTCATTATCAACACCAAA